GTTGATGGGAGGAGGGAGGAGGAGAGAAAGGAAGGAAGGAAAGCGGGGCGCTGTCTTTTATAAACGAGGACCCAACACCACAGGATGGTTGGGAAAAAACCATGTTCGCACAATGCTAACAGAACGATGTATATGCGCTATCCCGCCCAGCTGGGGAACCGGATCTCACTTCCTCCTATATCCGTCACGCGCTCCCATCCCATTTCCTTTCACTCCATTTCCCCCTCCCTTCCCCGTCCGCGTCCTCCTTCTTCTCCACGCTTACTCGTTATCACTCCGCCAGCGTGCCTCTGGGCACGGAGTGGGCGTATCCTTAGGTCCTTTGCCTCATGCCTGGAGCCTCAGTCCTCAGTCCTGACGAATCTTGAAGGGTCAGTGACGAGTAGTGGCATGCGCTCGGTGAGCTACCGCACTGCGCTCAGCGAATCGGGGGCGCCCCGATGAGCCCGCACCAACGGTCGCTCCGGCGAAGGGTCAAGCGGGTCCGTCGTCGTCATCGTCGTCGTCATCGTCGTCGTCGGCGTCGTCGTCGAAGAGCAGCACCAGCAGGCGCAGCGGCGGCGGCGCAGGACCGCCTCGGGCGCCCGCGCCGCCCAGCGCAGCTCCGCCAGCAGGGGCGGGCGGCCGGCGGGGAGCTGCTCGGCCACGTCCGCCCCCGACAGGTCCGCGAGGTAGCGCTCCGAGTGGCCCGAGAGCACCTCTGAAGGAAAACGAAGGGGTATCCAGGCCCCCTCGCGTCGTGCAGAAAAATCACGACGGGAGGTTTTTCTAGATTCTCGGCCTCCAAAGGCCCTTGCCGGGCCTCGGGGCCGTCAAAAAACGACTCAGGATCAGAAGCCGGTCTCGGGGAAGGGGTCCAGACTTCCGGGGGTCAACGCCGTGAAAAACTCACGACGTGGGGGGTCTGGGTAGGACAGCAAATGGCGGGACACATAATAAGCTCAGGCAGCTGGCTTTCCTTAACCCGAAGACCCAAAGTTCGCTTTGGGCGGGGCTGCGGGTTCCACATGTGTTTTTGAATGTTCCCCGACGCGCCCCCACACCCCAACTGGAATGGAGGGCAAATTGGAGCCTTCGGGTTGGGCTGGGATGCTTTGGTGAGCGGTTATTCTCCTCCGCCTCCTCGTGCTGCTCCCCTTGAAATCTGCGCGTCGCAATCTATTCGCGTTGGCCGTGTTTCGCCCGCTTTGGGGCCTCTGGGGATGATGCAGTGGAAGAGTGGGGTCTGAGGCTCCAGTCGTGATTGTCGCGATGTTCTATCTTTTTCGCAGCGTCGGCTCTGAGGGCCTGCACCATCACGGGTTTCACAACACCGAGGGGATTTTCTCCTGACGCCAGTCCACGGTCCAACGCCAGCACGCAGCCAGTCACATGCCTAGCGAGGGCGAGGCGAAGTGGGTTTGCACCACCTAGCGTGCACCAATCCCAGATCGACGGTTCTTCTTCGCGCGTGGGAAGGCGTGGGTCCAATTGGATCCCGTTGCCGCACCAGGGGCGGCGCTGGAGGCGCCGCAAGAGGGGGCTCCAGCACTGATCCAAGAAAGGCGCGCTGACATCCGAAGGCATGTGCTTAATTATGCCATTGTTGCCCCTCGATGGCAGAATCACCGCACGGCGCAGGGTTCAGAACTTTTGAGCAGGGACCGACCGTCCCGGCATTACTGTAGGCCTACCACGACATGCTCTTAGAACACCCACATGCTCTAATAACAAGACCAATGGTCTTAGAAGATAAACCTGATGTGTTAGTTCAAACAGGACAGTCTCAGCCAGAAATGTTCTAAGACCATTACGTGCAGACCACAGAAGGTTCTTAGGCCATTCCTTGGTGGGCCTGCAGGCGAGCCAGGACGCTTCGCCACTGCTCGAAGCGCGCGTGAGACGAGTGGGATGTGGCTCACGCGCCGCTCCGAGGCCGGGCGCTGCCGCGGTCCCTGCGCACTCTACGGGGCCGGGCCGCGCGGGTTGCTCCCTCTCTCGCCTCTGGGCTCTGAGCGCCTCCGCCCCTCGTCCCTCCTCCTCTCCTCCTCCCCCTCTTCCTCCTCCTCCTCCTCCTCCTCCTCCTCCTCCTCCTCCTCGCCCCTCCTCCTCGCTCCTCCTCCTCCTCCTCCTCCCCCTCCCTCCTCCTCTCCTCCTCCTCCTCCTCGTCCTCCTCCTCTTCCTCCTCCTCCCTTTCCCACTCCTCCTCCCCCTCGTCCCTCCGGGCTCCTGGCCACTCCACGACCAGCCTTGGCTGACGTGTGTGTGTGTGTGTGTGTGTGTGTGTGTGTGTGTGTGTGTGTGTGTGTGTGTGTGTGTGTGTGTGTGTGTGTGTGTGTGTGTGTGCGTGCGTGCGTGCGTGCGTGCGTGCGTGCGTGCGTGCGTGCGTGCGTGCGTGCGTGCGCGTGCGCGTGCGTGCGCGTGCGTGCGTGCGCGTGCGTGCGCGTGCGCGTGCGCGTGCGCGTGCGCGTGCGCGTGCGCGTGCGCGTGCGCTGCGTGCGCGTGCGCGTGCGCGTGCGCGTGCGTGCGCGTGCGCGTGCGCGTGCGCGTGCGCGTGCGCGTGCGCGTGCGCGTGCGTGCGCGTGCGCGTGCGCGTGCGCGTGCGCGTGCGCGTGCGCGTGCGCGTGCGCGTGCGCGTGCGCGTGCGCGTGCGCGTGCGCGTGTGCGCGTGCGCGTGCGCGTGCGCGTGCGTGCGCGTGCGTGTGCGTGTGCGTGTGCGTGCGTGTGCGTGTGCGTGTGTGCGTGTGCGTGTGCGTGTTGCGTGTGCGTGTGCGTGTGCGTGTGCGTGTGTGTGTGTGTGTGTTGTGTGTGTGTGTGTGTGTGTGTTTGTGTGTGTGTGTGTGTGTGTGTGTGTGTGTGTGTGTGTGTGTGTGTGTGTGTGTGTGTGTGTGTGTGTGTGTGTGTGTGTGTGTGTGTGTGTGTGTGTGTGTTGGGGGGGGGTCCGAAGCCCGCGAGGGATGAAGAATGTCGCAGGCATCCAGAGACATGACTCAGAATGGCGCGCACAGCCCAAGATGCTTTTCCCCGGGTAGATTTCGCCGTAGGCGTTCTAACTACTTCGGGTCAAGACAGCCAATGGTGATCAGGTGCCCCCCAAATCCCCAAGGAGTCCATGCAGTTGTCCCAGGTTCCACGGAGGTCAGTGGCAATCGGGAGTCCCCTCACCAATTTCCCTGGGGTGCTCCCCACTTGTTTTGCGTAGGTTCGTGGACAAGGTCCTGATTGGAATTGACGTGGATCGCTTTGCGATCTGCGTTGTCGATCGTCACACCGCATCGTACAGCGCACTGCTTTGCACCCCCGAGCAAGACAAGGCAATTGCTCAACACATAAAAGACAACTTGGCATTACACGTGAGTTCTGCAATACTGAACCATGCTACTGTGCTATGTCATGCACGTACCATGCCATACGACATCGCCCTGCGAAGCTGTGACATGCGTCGGCGTGATATGGAGCGCTCTTCCGTCTTGGCCAGTATAAAGCATGTCAGTATGTGACACCCCTCCAGTGCGATGTCAATTCTGCGCAGTGCGGTACCATTGCCGTACTGGGCTGCGGCATCCGACGTGGCGCAACGCTGCAACGCTGCCATGCCCCTCCCGGCGGCAGATGGCAGTCGTACGCGTCGCCCGCAGGGCATCAGGGGGTTCTCCGCAGGCGGGAGCAAGAACACCGTGAGGAGGACAGCACGGCCCTCCTCTCGAAGGAGGGCCGGCCGAGACCACGGCGGCTCTCCTGCCCGGGGCCCAGCTCCGCCCAGGATCTGCCCCTGGAGCCCTCCCGCGTCCTCATCTCTGCGCGCGCGCCTCCGGCCCACGGCGTCGTCGCGTGCGGGGCCCCCGCACTGCACAAGCGTGCGGGCGAGCACGCTCGAGCGGAGCGGGGAGAGAAGCCCGGCCCCTCAGGGGGCACTTTTCGGGTCCGCGGGTCGGGAGCGGGCCCCTTCCGGTCAAGAGCTGAACGGGACGCGGGTAGCCGGGTAGCCCCAATTGGGGAGACAGGGCGCGGGCGGGCGGGGCCTCAGGCGGCCGGAGGGCTCAGAAACAGGTGGTGCCGAAGATCTTGCACAGGACAAGGTGCGCCATGGGCTGGAACAGGGGGCGCGGTCCCACAGGGAAAGTGGATGGCAGTCGCACGCGGGGAGAAGGTCCCGCCCGGAGGCGGGCCTGGCCGTGGCGACGAGAAGCCTCCAGGGGGCCAGCGCAGGATGGCACGACGTGCTAGGGAGGGCCGCCCGGGGCCTCGACTGGCCCTCCTCCAGTCCTCCAGCCCTCCAGTCCTCCTCCTCTTCCTCCTCCTTCTCCTCCTCCTCACCTCCTCCTCCTCACCTCCTCCTCCTCCTCCTCCTCCTTCTCCGCCTCCTCCTCCTCCTCCTGACCTCCTCCTCCGATCCTCCTTGTTCGATCCTCCCTCCCTCCCTGCCTCCTCCTCCGAGGCTCCTCCTGGGGTGGGTGCTGAAGTGGGTGCTCTCGTGGGGTCCTGCGCCAGTATGGTCGCTGTCGCAGTCAGGAGGCAGCTGATGCCACTGTGTCGGGGTGGCTGCCGTCCTCGGGCTGCGTATGCAAGCCGCCTCGCAGCGCTGCGAAGCGTTCTCTCGCAGCGCGGTGGTAGAAGGTGGGTGTGGTCGTCCACCTCGCTGATGCCGTTCAACTGGCTCCTCATCGCGGGCTCCGCGGCCCCCATCGCGGGCCGGGTGCCGCGCTGGCGGCCGCCCGCGTAGGGCCAGCGCCCCACCAACGAGCGCTGGGGGGCGAGTCCCCGCAGGTGGCTTGAGCCAAAATAGCTACGGACCACTCCTCCTCCTCCTCCTCCTCCTCCTCCTCCTCCTCCTCCTCCTCCTCCTCCTCCTCCTCCTCCTCCTCCTCCTCCTCCTCCTCCTCCTCCTCCTCCTCCCTCCTACAGTCCTCCTCCTACAGTCATCCCTCCTTCTCCTGCTGCTCCTCCGCTTCCACGCCGGCCCGGAGCGCCGCGGACGCGCTCATTCCCCTCAGGAGGATGCTGCCCGGGCTCCAGAGCTCTGTGCGTCCTGCGCGCGAGGAGGGGGGGGGAGGAAGGAAGGAAGGGGGGAGGGGAGGGGGAGGAAGGGAGGAAGGGAGAGGGAGGGAGAGGAAGACAGGGAGGAGGGGAGGGCGAGGAGGAAGAGGGAGGGACTCCCCCAGTGCAGCTCCTGGTCCTCCCTCGCGGCTCGCCGCCGATGCGGCTCCCTCGTCCTCCCTCCCCCCCTCCTCGCCCTCGGCCTCGCCTCTCCCTGCCCCCTTCGTGTCTCCCTGGTCTCTCCCGCCGTTCCTTCTCCCTCGTGTCTCCCCCTCTCCTCCTTTGCGTTCTCCCTCGTCGTGCTCCCCTTCTCCGATCGCTCTCCCTCGTCGTTCTCCCTCTTCGCGTCTCCCTCGTCTCTCCCCCACCCGCGCGCGCGCGTGCTCCAGCACTCAGCGCGCGGGGGGGAGAGCTCAGAGGAGGGGGGGGCGGGGGGGGCGCAGAAGCTAGCAGGGCGGGCCGGGCGCTGGTGCTTCGCCCAGACAGCGTCGGACCGGTGGAGCGGCGGAAGCGCTGGGGCGCCCAGGGGGGGGGGGAAGAGTACAGGATTCCAGGAGGAGGAGGAGGAGGAGGAGGAAGAAAGAAGAGGGAGAAGGGAGGAGGGGCACAGGCAAGAGGAATTATAGGGAAGGGGGAGAGGAAGGAGTGGAGTCCAAGACTCGACCCTCAAGGGCGCTTGGCGCGCTGACTTGTCGAGGACGGGGAGTACAGGCGCGAAGAGGGGAAGCACTGAAGCGGAAGAGGCAGGAGGAGGAGAGGAGGGAGGGATAATAGGGACCAGTCCTGCGCCCGCTACGTCGACCACGACTCACGACGACGCGACGACCGCCCTTTCTGCCCGCCCCCTCCTTGGCTCCCGCACGCTCCGCACGAGCGTCCAGCGGTCACTCGTGCAAAAAATCACGCCCCGTGTCGCCGACGCAGGCGTAGAAACTGTGAGAGAGGCTGCCTCCGCTGCGAGCGGGCTGGAGATCACAACTGCCGCCTTGCTGGCAGAGAAGACCGTGTGCGTTGGGCCAGCCTCAAAGAGCTCGAGATCTGCTCGAGACGCTGCGGCTCGGACGCACTTGCACGGAAGATGTTGTCCACCCCCTCCGTAGCTTCTTCCCTCCCCTGCTGCCCGCGATCCTTCCTTCCCGTGGCCCAAAAGGGGGTCCAACTAAAAGGGGGCGGTGCAATAGACTTGGGATACTTGTATTGCAGATTCATTGCGCCCGAAGCTTGTATTGCAACTCAGATGTGCTGCACGGGAAACACAAGCAACACGTCTGCGCACCAGAATGTATTGCACACCCCGAATCTACTGCAGGCCCCAGCAAACCCGCAAGAGATCCCCAGGAAGCCCGAAGAGGCCCTCAAGAAGCTCCCAAAGAGGCTCCGAAGAAGCTCCCGAGAGGCCCCAAACTTCCTCCCCAGAGGCCCCCGAGAGACTTCCGAAGAGATCCCAAGAACCATCCCTGAGGACTCTGGCCCACGTCACCGTCGTCGTCGTCGTCGTCGTCGCCGTCGCCGTCGCCGTCGCCGTCGCCGTCGCCGTCGCCGTCGCCGTCGCCGTCGTCGTCGTCGTCGTCGTCGTCGTCGTCGTCGTCGTCGTCGTCGTCGTCGTCGTCGTCGTCGTCGTCGTCGTCGTCGTCGTCGTCGTCGTCGTCGTCGTCGTCGTCGTCTCCCTTCAGGGACGGCGGCACCGTCCGTAAGGGTCCGTAAGGCCTTCGCAATCTGTTGCGCCAAATCTGCGGCAGCACCCCCTTGTCGCTGGACCCCCTTTTGAGTCAACCAGGCTTCCTCCGCCCGGTGTCCTCCTCCGTCTCCTTTCCAAAGGGCGGCGCGGGGGTCAGACCCCGGGCCGAAACATACGGTTCAGGTCGGACATGCCCTCCTACAGGCGGATTTTTGACGGAACAAATGAAAAATACAACGCCGCCACTGTATCCAAGCCCCCTACAACCCTCGTCAAAAAAAAACTGAGGGATTCTGTGTTCGGTGATTGTATGGTCAGCGCTACTCCAATGCTGACGCTAGATATCTGACGTGGACGCAAGGGCTTCAAAAATCCGACGACCCCTCCGCAGCACTGAAGAACGCAGTTCCTAACAAGTGCCCGAGAAGATCGATAGCCGTGATTTCCAGCTTTGTTTCTGTTTATTTCTGACGAGGCTTGCTGCGCGCCCCCACTGCATCCACCCCCCCTCTTTGCCGCGCCGAGCCACACATCCTCCTCGTCCTCCTCCTCGTCCCCCTCCCCTCTCCCCCTCCCCCTCCTCCTCCTCCTCCTCCTCCTCCTCCTCCTCCTCCTCCTCCTCCTCCTCCTCCTCCTCCTCCTCCTCCCCCTCCTCCTCCTCCTCCTCCTCCTCCTCGGCGAGGGCACTGCCCCCTCGCCGAGGAGGCGCGCGGGCCCCGCGGCCCGACCTCCGCCCGCGCAACGCCGCAGGGTCCTCCACGGCGGCCGCGCCCCGGCGCCGGCGCGCACAGCTCCGCGCCGGTCAC